ATAGCTCAATGTAGTAAGTCAGTCCGAGGTTCTAATATGTTATAGTGCATAGTTTACAATTCAAGACTGTTTTTTGACTATTAAGGGTTTTTTCCCCCGAATATCCATTTTAAATCTTTTTCCACACTATGTTTTAAGAATATGTCTTACGAGAAATTTCGATTTAACGCTGAATTTTGTTGTTGTTGTTGTTGTTGTTGCTTGAAATTTCACACTTTGAGAGTTCTTTTTTTACACTTCACGATAAAAAGTATGACCTCGCCGGATGAATATTGGCAATGACGATAATAGCAAAATAATAATTTCACCGCATTTTGAACGCTTATCGCCTTTTTTCCGTTGATAGCTCCAGCGCATGTGCTTCCAATGTGAATGGTTTTCGTCCTCAGACCCTTTTCTTACTTTATTCATATGTCGCGCATGCGCAAAGTGTGACTAGAGTCTACGGACGAGATAAAGGCTTATAAAAGTTCATTGTCTGATTTGAGTAAGGGTTGTCGTACGTATTCCATATATGGTATTAACTAACAAGCGTATAGCGGTCCCTAACAAGCGAATAGAAGCACCTAACAAGCGAATAGCGGCCCCTAAGGAATCCCAATTTACTGGTGCTATTAGCAATGCAAAATACTTTAAATGTCACAAACAATTCGTTGTTTGCCAGCGTAATGGTCAAGTTAAGGCGCTTTACATTTGTACTCGAAGGGTTAGGTTTAGGGAAAAAGGACGGATCAGGCTATAAAATGTTAAATTCATAATTCTAAGTTAAAATTCGATAAGAAAATTTTTAATAAGTTAAGGCGTAGCTAAAAAGTTCGAATAAGTCGATAAAAAACTGTAGAAAAATATACAAATGAAAAAAAGTATGGACCCCTGTTCGCTTGTTAGGTGCTTCTATTCGCTTGTTAGGTGCTTCTATTTGCTTGTTAGTTTGTGCCATATATGGAATACGCACTACAAACCCGCCTCTCTGATTTATATAATCTATATAATCACTGGTGCCACAGCCCTAAACTCTTTCTATAATGTCACTTGTCGTCTCAAAATTGCTCTATATTTTTTCTTCTCAAAATTGATCTAACTTAATTATAAAACGTAAAAAGATTACTTGCTAGCTATTATAGATAGCAC